ACGCAGGCAGCAGCCTGCGCACGAGCGCAGGGCAGCAGCGCTGTAATATCCCGTCAGCTTATCAGTATAAATTATGTTTTAGTTCCGATATATTAATAATGTTATCGATTATTAATTTTCAGAATTAATTATTTTCAGTCGAGATTACCGAAATTTAGTTTCGACGTACCGTTTACGTTCGGAATAATTTTGGTAATTAAGTATTATGCTTAAAAGTTAATCAAGCATAATTAAGTGATTAATTAAACATTAATCAATCATTAATGTTAAAAAAAAAAAAACGAAGCTTATGTGCAATATGTCCCAAATTCTATTAAATGTGTACCTATTCCTTAAGCTTAAGGAAATGTTCTTTTTTTATCATCTCTTTAAGCTATGCACGTGTCAAGATGTGAGGGTTAAGAGTGTGATTAGTCATCATCAAACCATTTCTTTGAGAAGCAAATGTTAAGCCTAAGGGAGGCCACGTTTCACTCCATCATCCTCCCTTCATTGTTCGGCTCCTATATATATGATGAGTTTTGGGAAATTTTTCCCAACTTTTGAAGCTTTATATTAGCACTTCATAAGTTAGTAAGTCCAGCCATATATAGACCAAGCAAATTTCCTTAGTTTTTTTCCATACTTCACGCACGGCAATAGCAGCACACACGGACACGCACACGCGGAGCCAAGGAATCACGTCTTTCTTGCGGATTTCGATCGAGATCTTGAGAAGGTAATCTCACCCTCAGCACCTCTTCTTGTTAATGAGATCATGTAGTGTTAAATTGTTCAAGCTCATGTCCAGTAAGTTCATGAAATGCCATGATATGTCCGGTAGTGCCATGAATTGGCCGTGACCGAGTAAAGTCCTTTTCTATCCGGCAACTCTCATGCAATTCAGGTTTATTTGGTCATTTTAGATCATTTCATACTCAGTTGATCCATGTTGGTCGGGGCAAATTGCAGGTTTAGGCATGAATTGGCTTACAGACGTCGGCAGTGCATATAGCGCATGCCTACGGGCCATTATAGACCATGTCATGTTAACATTTATTATGAACATAATTGTCCGTATGATTCATGTCCCAACAGTTTTTAAATAATGTTTTATGATCAGTCAAGTCTTGTTGGGCGAGAGGAATTAGAGTTTGGTCGAGGGATTAGCCTAATGCCGATCATACGCACACGGTGTGCGAACCTCGGCTTGCTATTAGTCCATCGAGAACAAGGGGTTAATTTTTGAGATAATCAGCATATTTGATCATGTCCTATTAAGTTATGCTTAATCATGCTGAGGTTGCCGGAAGAAATGATAGAACGGCCGGCAAGGGGGCCGGTAGTGGGCAGACTGTCCGCACATAGCGGCAGTCACGCCCAGCAGTCACCTGGCACCGCGGCCAGTGTGCGGGTGGTACAGGTAATGCACGGCAGGTACTGCTTGTGATCAGTACCCGCTGCGAGTAGCCGTTGGCAGTGCGCCTGTGCACGCCAACGCCCAGCCAAGCGCGCCAGCATGCGGTAACGCACGTCAGCGCAGCATCGCATGTTAATGGCTTCGCCAGTAGCCTGATCGAGTAGCCAGTGTTGCGGGAGGGCACAGCGCACGCCCGCAGCATTCAGTTGCATGTCGGCACGCACGTCCGTGGCCAGCGCCGCACCGCAAGCTGTGCAGCAGCCACGCCATGCCAGTGCATGCCCATCCGTGGTCAGGTGCACGCAGCACCCTCGGCCATGGCCATGGCAGGCAGGCCGCAACGGCCGTGCCCGCACCAGTTCCGCCAGCAGCTGCGGCCGCAGCCTTGGCAGGCCGTGGACCGAGTCAGCTGCCGGCCGACCGGTCCGAGCAGACCGGCGGTCCGGCTAGACCGGTTCAGACAATTTAATACCGATTTGACCCAAATAATATTATTTTAATCCCGGTTCGCATTTTAAGTTCTATTTCAGTAAATATTCCGGGATAATTTCAGTTCAGAAAAATTCATGTCCGATCAGTTCATGTCAGTTCAGCTCTGGTTATTCCGATTAAGTTTAAATATCATTTCAGGTTCAGTAGAGCATCTTAACGAAATTAATCAGTTAAGTTAACAATCTGAGGAAAGTCATTAGTAATTGTTTATATTATATTTCAGGTTGATCAGGTCACGAGTATCAGCACTGCCTTTATTTTCACGGATCAGGTGGGGACTCAGACTAAGTACTACATTGATTATAATTACGGTACCATGTTTGCGGTATGTATTTCATGTCATGTATCCGCTCGGAATGGTCGCCGGTCCATTCTGGGTTCTAGTGGCCCTAGTCTGCCCACTAGAGTGTGCACATGGTGTCCGGCATTAGTTTGTTGCCAGCAGATGAGGTAACGGTCAGGGTCACGTTGGCGTGACGATATCAGATTCATGTTCATGTTATTACCGGTTTCATGTTGAGGTTATGTATATGCCAAGATCATGATGTTGTTATTATTTTCAATGTTTACATTAGTATGAGTTTCCACGGAGCACAGTGCCATAGTGCTCATTTCCCATTGTTATCATGTTTTTCAGGTCAGGACGTCGGGCCGGGAGCGTGAGATGACGAAGGCTTCAGGACTTTTATGTTTTGACTGTATATATATTATGACGATTTACGTTTCCGCTGATGATGGTTTTTGATGAACTTATGTTTGACCGGACTTTTGGGAAAACTTATGCTTTCAGTAATCATATGATTTTATTAAAAATTTAGATAACTGTTTTCCAAAATAAGTCACGTTTTAAAGGTAGCACCCCGAATCAGTTTTCGCAAAGTAAAAGATTTATTTTTAAAAGACTTTGCGGAATTTTCACACTCTGATTTTACGATAAGGCGGGGTGTTACAATTGGTATCAGAGCACGTTTCTGCGTCTCTGAAAAGTTTTTCAGTCAATAATTTTTCAGAAAAACCTGAACCGTCATGCTCACGCCTCGCCGACGACAGGTAAGTGCTTATTTATGTTTTCAGTTATAAACATATTACTTTGTCTATGCTCAGAATTATGGATCAGGACTTAAGTTAAGATGCTCGAATCAGGTTCAGACTTTAGAGTTCGGATATGACTCTAGAATTCAGGGCATTCAGATATGACTCTAGAAATTAGTATCTTCCGATATGACTCTAGAGTTCTTCAGGATTCATGTCAGTAATTATCGGCCATTTTTGGCAACTCGTCAAGAGATCTGTGTGCCTTAGTAATCAGTCAGAATGTTATCACGTATTCAATAATGTTAAACTTTCTCAATGTTCAGATGCCGCCACGTAGGGAACCCGATCATCCGGCTCCTACTCAGGCTACTGTAGTCGCACAGTTCCGCGACTATCACGCTGAAAAGTTCTCAGGGCAGGGAGATCCCCGAATTGTAGATGAATGGATTCAGGGCTTGGAGTTTATCTTTGAGGTCATGGACTGCCCCGATAGATATCGCGTAATCTGCGCTCAGCTTCAGCTCACTGGTGATGCTAGGCTCTGGTGGAATGCCTACTGGAGCATGCGTCCCGGTGAGAAAGCGATATGTACGTGGGATATGCTCAAGGAGCTAGTCCGCGAAAAGTACTACCCCTCTTATTATCGGGCAGAGATGGAGCGTCAGTTCTTAGCGCTCCAGCAGGGCACTCGTACGGTTGATGAGTACGAGCGACAGTTTACGAGACTTGCAGCTTTCGTTCCAGACCTGGTTCGCACGGAGGCTCAGAGAGCGCAGCGGTTCATCGACGGGCTTTACCCAACAGTCCGTCACAATATTGTAGGCCATGGGACACAGACATATGCTCGTGCAGTTTCTATCGCCCAGGAGGTGGACGCTAGCATCAGGAGGGAGGCCGTCCGTGATCGTGCTC